GCGGGCGGCGGCTCGGCTCAGCCCTCGGGTCCCAGCGGCCGGGCTGCGGTTCCCGAGCTCCGCACTCGTGGCACACTCAAAAAGCTGCAAAAGCTCGAATGCGGCTTGCGTTCGTGCTTTTGCACTTTCTCTGACAAGAGCCGTGCCGTCTCCACGTGTCCGGTGTCAGTTCCTGTTCAGGACTCGAGGTTTACTTTTCAGATTGGTAACGTTTTCTTCCCATGGCATTTGTTTTTTAACGTGTTTCTGTCTGATGCAGAGCTGAATACAGACATCCGGACCGCGGTGTAACGTCGGCCCGCCGACCCCAAACTTTCCTCACTAAATACTACGAGCTTTAGTAAATCCACTCCACCGAGTAGTAATGAGGTCATTAGCGAGTGGTAGCTCCCAGGTGGCAGATGTCAGCCTTTTAAAGCTGATCCCAGTGGAGGTTTCCTGATCCGAGCAATACGCAGAGGCCCGTTTCTCAGAGATGTTACACCAGTTTTCTATGAGCAGGATGGACAGAGGGCCTGCCCCGCAGGGACCGGAGGAGGAAGCGTTTTCCAGCGGCTGCCCGCCCCTTTGTTTGCTCAGCTGCCTGCTGAATGGAGGGCTGAGGGCCAGGGGAAACGAGATTAATCAAGTAAGCAGCTACCCACGGAAAAAGTACCGTGAGCGGGTGAGAAAAGCCAAGTGAAGTGGCTGGTTGAAGAGACCATTTTGCTGTCTGCTGTGCACAACCCGGATTGTCTCCTGTGGAAAGTCCCGCGGGAGCGTCCCGAGACTTCAGGGAAGAGGAATGGCTGAGTGTTCCCCACCGGGAGCTCGCCCACTGTTGAAGGGCCCAAGGTCTCTGAACTGCTGCCTTAAGTCCCGCACCTGCGTAACAGTTGTCCATCTTGCAACAAGGAACTTCACCTTGCCTTTTAGCCTCCTGCTCCTGAGCAGGCTGGGCACGGAAACAGAGCACGGCTTCTGCCTGCATGGACCTGAGAGTCTAGAGGAACGACCTCAGACCAGTGCTCAGCACTTCCATCATGGTGGCTCAGCTCCGCTCAGCTCCCGTTACTGCATGTACAGCAAAGTAATGCTGCTGTTTCAGCTGGTGTGCTAAACTGCATAAACACAGAAAAACAGAGCAAAAAATGAAGAGAATAAAGTCCTAATAACATGACTGCTGGGAATCACAACCGATCATCCTGTAGCCTCCCCTGGAACACCATTCACCAAGTCTGTGTTTGTCCAGGCTCACCGGGAGGGAATATTCCTCATCTTTACAGCTCCGAGTGTTAGGTGTGGGAACACCACAGTCTGCTTACAAGTAACACACAGTTCGGGATAATGAACAAATAACTAAAACTGGGAAGGTGCTGAAACAATTATGTTCTTGTTTATGGAGAGATGGGCAGCATCTAAACGCAATGCACTCTAGACAGTATCAATTCAGATACAAATGTGAAGAAGGAAAAATAGATTTGCGCTTTCTCAGTAAAGGAGCTCAAGTATGGAGCACTTGTGGGACTGAGGAAAACGATACACTTAGGCAGTGCTTGCCCTGGGGAAAATACAGGTGTGTTGGAAAATCCTCACTACCCCCGCTCTGTGAAGGTGAGCGATCACCATCCAGCAACACCGACTCAAGTCTGGTCTTAGGACTTTGCTCTTGCTGTTCTCACAGTCATTATGCAGAGTGCAGTCAGTTTTACTGTCTTCCCGAGTGTTCTGGGCCTTTTAGATTAGAGGCTTTAGTTTGTATTACTTTCTTGAACAGTTTGATCAGCATTCATGTGAGCTAAGTCTATAACAAAACTGGGGGGGTTACTATTTCTTACATAATGGGCTTTCCTATGTTTATCCCTTAGGACATTACCTCAAGGGCTATTATTAGATCCAGTTTGCAGTCAGTCTGTTTTCTGTCACTAGATATCTAGAGTTAAATATTTATTCTGCCATAGCATAGCTGGGATTACGATGCAATTTAGTATTATTTCTACAAGGCAAATTATTAGAATGACAATGAAGAAGAAAATGAGGTATCCTAACAAAAAAAATAAATTGCATGAAAAAAACACACAAAGCAAGATGTGACCCAGGAGTATCCATCTAAAAGAAAAAGAAAAAGCTAAAAAGAAAAGCATTCAAATCACTAAGTAACTTATTCTAGCATAGATTTTTAAATAGATTACACCAGTTACAAGAAACATTGCAACAGACCTTTGTGTTTGAATTTTTAGTATTTCTTTTTTATCAATGCCAGTTACGACTAACCCGACATATCCTGGTCATGTGGCATCGGGGGAGATGGCCAGGAGGTACAACTGGCTGAATTTTTTCAGGTGGAAAAGTCTTCTGTCAGAAATATCTGAGGCTGTCCAGCACTGGTATTATAAGTAAAAATAACACTTCTGTTAAAGGTATTATTCCCATTGTCCTTTTCTCCCTTCTTCAACTTTAATACATAAATGTTACTTCTTTTCACTAGGAAAAGGGGCAAAAGAGACTTTAGAATGTAAGTTTTGAGGGGGGAAAAAACTTTTCTCTGCTCCTACATGAAAATACTGAGGTCAGGAGGAGAGGAATCAAGCCACACAAACAAAATAAACCACCCCCAAAATAACAGAAAAAATGGTATATTTGGAATATTGAATCATTTTAATTTCATTTTTTAAAACCAACTTTTAAAATCAGCATGATGCACCTTTGCAATAATTAATTTGTTCTTAAAGAAAGTAACTCCTCCCTTATTTCTCTAGAAAAGCCTCAAACACCTTGAAAGCAATCCTACCCATGCTTATACCTATGGACTCACCATTTCACATATGGAAAGCAGTTGTCAGATTACTGTACATGGCTACACATCACACACACCTTTGCAGAATATGGTCACCTCATCGATGTTCAATCCTGCATATTTTCTCTTTAATCCACCAAGTACCTTTTTCTTTTGAAAATTTTCACATACCTTAACTTGTAGGTGGCTCCTATCACCTTGTTTTCTTGTGTTTCTGCCATGTTCTAGTGCTCGAGGTAGGGCTGGAAGGGCCTGAACTCATCAGGTCTCTTAAGCACATTTCTTCTTTTACACATGCAAATAGCCCCAGGTGCTGAATGGGAATGAAAGAAAATGTAAGTGGAATGAAACTGAGCGTGCATGCCTCCATTCTGTGGGGCAGGGGTTTCCTGTACAAAATCACAGACTTAATGTGGAGAAAACTTACTTCTTACCCATGTGCTCATCTGTCCATGTCTAAGAGTCTTCAGATGTCAAAACAAGGATTTAAAGCCTCTCCAAAAAGCATTATTATGCAGCTCCCAGAATCCTGGTTTGTAGGTCCAGCCCTGAGCGTTGCTGATCTCAGCAAGATTTTATGAGGTCATTTTGGCAACCTGTACTGAACACATGTACACAGGGAGGCATTGCTGAGGTAACAAACTTCATTCTTCAGCAAACCAGGAACACCGTGACTGTCTTACTTTTATGACCTCTTGTCGTTTAGTTGACATGTAGATTGTTCCATTGTGAGAGTCTTAAAGATAAATAATCTCTTATCAGTGAGTGGATATACACTTTAAAAAAGAAGGGCCACAGTCACACCAACCTCACCACGCTGGAGCCTGCCGAGCACCGTCCCAGGTGTTACCTGCCAGGTCTGAAGTTGTTGGGTATTTTTGCACGAGCTGCACTGCTCAGTTCTTGTTTATCCTGTGCAAGTCAATAGTTCTTTATTTCATAAAAGAGTTCATCTGCTTCCGTTACTTGGCTTTGGGAAGAGTCTTTAGTCTTTAGCAGGGAGTGTCTTCCTGTTCTCGAGAGCCCCTCTGCCAAAGGAAACACTGCGAGAAATCAGGGGAACCGCTCCTGCACTCACACGTGTTCTGAACAAACAGGATTGTGTGGAGTGCGAGTGTGCAAGGTTTTCATGTAGGTTTATTTCCAATGAATGTTGACACAACAGACTAGAAAGTTTAAATACAATATTTATTTGAATTTATCCTTTTCACATCCTGCATAGAGGACGTATTAAAAGCATACAACATAACTGCATTATTTATACAGCATATATGAAAACTGTATCCCAAAATACTTTCCAGAGTAACTGGAATAAATCACAAAAGAATACTTATCATGGTACAAATGTAGTCATACAATTGACTATATTTAATGCACTTTCTGGGACCTATCTATATGGCTTTTATTCATGTTTATAGAAATTTTACTCGTTTCTAATGGTATAGTACTAATTAACCCAATCTCAAATCAACAAAATTTATACTGAAGTGTTAAGTCTTTTCAGTCAGATTTGTTACTATCTATGCTAATTTACACTGTTGCTGATTTGACTGGAAAGCTCTACATTTACACGTAACACAACTATGTAAGTACTCTTCCTTTCCCGTTCTTCACAGTTACCAAATTCAGACCACTAGTCCAATCAAATGACAGTCATCCAGCTCACTGCGGGTCAAAATGCTCTTAAAAGGTAGCACAGACTTCAGTTTGCTTTAGAGAGAAAAATCCTATCAAATAGTCAAGACAATTTACGTCCAAAACTTTTACAGGAAACACTCAACACCTTGCTAGTGTCTTGGCAGACGACCATAATTCTGCATGTCTCCATTAAAATACCTTGCAGTACTTTCAGAGGAGATCCTCGGGGGTGTATTAAAAGCAGAATGAACTTCCTTTGAGTTCTGTCTCAAAACAGCATTTTGATACCTCATCCTGCCCTCTCCTACAGTCACTGAGCACCTCACAGTCGTCAGGTTCTGTTTTCTGAATTCTGGCCAAAAACAGAGGGATAAAGTATTTTTACTTACTTACAACTTCAGTTCATGTCCTTTACAACAACATGCATTTCATAAGTTTGAAGGTAACTTTCACAAACAATGGTTCAGAATTCAATTCCCGAAATATAGAGGGACTGTTTGGGCACAAAAAATGCTAAAAGGCATTATGTACTGAACTAAAGCTGCATCCCTGATGGATATTAGTGTGGCCAGTCGGGATTAGTTTTTAGTGTCTTCAGAACCAGAAACGGTACAAATGTCTGCTGTTGCCAGCCACTAGAGGGAGATGCGGTAACACAAGTACAAAGCTTATCGCCGAGATCGGAGTTGGGTCATTACCCCTGTCTCGTGGGTTCTCCACATACACTTCGAGTTTCAATGTGTTCTCTTTTAGAGTTTCACTTCATGATCTTAGCTGTTCATAACTATTGATCAAGTTAGCTGTTATTTGGGAACGCGGTTGAGCAAACTCCCTCCCAAATTCACTTGAAGCATCAAACCCTCCATCAGCAATACCCTGTGCGCTGTTAACACTACAGCTTCTCCAAGTGTCAGCTCTTATTCGGGTAGAAGACAACTCCTCTGCATAATGAGAGGGTGCTTTGTCTGAGGACCGTTTTTATAGGGAGCAGGCTTTATCGTCAGGGACCTTCTCTTCAAGCCCTTCCCCACTCCAGAGGTTCTCTGGGAGCAGCTGTTGAGGCAAATGCGTGGTACCATGCCTGCTTACTAAATGTGACAGCTGGAGGCTCTGCTTTGCCCTTTTGATATCTATGAGATATTTTGCACTCCCTTATCACACGGAAAGTAAACAGAGTTTCCTTTTGGAGCTATTAAAACTAACGATCTATTTTTTAATTATTCGTTTTAAAAGAAACATCGAGCAGCTGTGGATGTTTGTGACTCCCACACCAGTGAAGATTACAGGCTTCCTTCACACAGGAGATAATTTACCTTTTTGTTAATTGCTTTGACTGCAATTATTTCTTGAATTTTGTGCATAATACAATCCACGATATCGTGTCTGACTTTTCTAAAAGGAATGACCATTTTAAGTTCTCAGTAACTGAACAGGTCATGAGGGAAAAAATAGCTTATGTGCAAACAGAGGATGATCTGAGCTCAAAAGCTGGAGAAGTTTGAACTTCCCGTTTTATTTTATATATGCTTTGATCATATCAAGCAACTCACGTTCCTGCAAAATACCTGTACCACATCAAAACATCCTTCAATCCATCCTCTAATACAGGCTTCTTTACTAGTTAAACATCACAGCTACAAAATAAACAAAGTTCTCTAACAAATTCAGAAACCCATGAAATAATGTAGGAATAAGATCTGGATTATGAGGTCAATATTCTTATTTTAAATACAGCTCTACTGAGTATACTTTATTTGAACAGACAGTACTGTATTTAAGAACTTGCATTAGACTGGAGATAAAAGCAATCACTTTGTGAAGCCCTGTGGGGAGGTGAGTACCTCCTGGGACTGGCATTCAATCAGGGACAACAAGTATCATACAAAATGCAAGTTGTTTGTTTTCTATAGCAGTTGTTGTCATTTAAAAATGCCCTTCATTCACGTTAACAGAACTACAAGAAAACATTCATAATTCATTTTAGCTCACTAAGACTGGGAGATCAAAACAAGATGTAAAAATATACCCTATATATATATTTAAATAAGTTTAGTACTAGATGCAGTCTGGTACTCTGAAGTCAAGGATAAGATTGGAAGTGATTTGGGAAAACAAAAAAAAAGGTACTAATGAATCAAAATCCTAATTCAGGATTGCTATTGCTGTAGGAATTGCAGGGACTGCTGCAGCTTGCTGTAGGCAAAATTCTGTTTAATAACAATTCCTTCCCCTAATGGAAAAGTAAATAGTGACAGGGATATTCCTACACAATTACTATTGAATGTATCACCAATAATCACTCCATCCCATGACTGAGGAAGTGCAAAGCAGCGCCTCAGTCCAACAAAGCAAAATCCATTTCAATCTGCTCTATCGCTTTCTGTTTTGAGCAACAAACAGGCCATTCATCGGCAGGCACCGGGGGAACTATCTGAAACAGCTCGGCTGCATCCCTCCCTCCCAGCACGGGAGGGCTGGCTCAGGCTGAACCTTTTCCAGGTGACCAGAGCCCTCCGCTGTCCCAGGTCTCCAGGAGAGGCATGACCAGCCCTCACACCTGGTACAGACAGGTGGAGCTTTCACACTAATGCCCTCTGCCAGCACACATTCAGATACTGCTTCCAGTAGTACTGAAAATAAAATATATTAGAGCTTCATTACACAACAGAATTATCACACAATTGAAGAAAAAAACCCCTGTACAGCTATACAGCTCCTTCCTTGCAGGCATTTGAAATGACACATTGCACTGGACAGCTTCTAAAGAAGCAATATTGACTGCTGTTTGACTCATCCCGCTGCCTCCACATCCCCTCACAGGTAATGTCAGCAGTAACTTCAGATACGAAATTACTAAAAAGCTGCTTTCAGGATAAATTTAGAAAGACTCCATGCTGCTGCTGTTCTCTATGACTTGATAAAAATTTATCTAATCAAGCTGCAAAGGCGCAAGATATTTGCTCGTATTTGGAAAGCGTGTTGACTAGAATGCTCACGATGTGCTGTTCTTTGTGCTAAATTCCAACACTCTCTTGAACGGGGTGTACGTCCTCACCGGCCTTGCACTTTCAGGAGATCTTCCGTTCTCAGTACTTGTGCTGTTCAGGAGACAAGGAAAGCTCACAGAGTTAATGTCAGAGTGTGAGACAGCTGGCCTGGAAACGTCACAGCAGTGACCTTGTGCCTGGCTACTGGTATCGACAGGCTAAAACGAAACTATTCAGTGTATTTGATATGTTCTGTATTTCTTTTCTATAATGCCACAAAGAATATTTGATAAAAAACATGGCAGATACTGACAAGTTTAGATGCAGGCATCTGCTGGAGCTCGTACTGAATGTCCAGCAATACAGCTACTAGGACTAAGGATCCTGCAACAACAAGGACAGCAATATTACATTTAATAAACAATTAACTGTGAAGACTAATTCCATGAAATCTAAACTGCAGAGAGGTACATTTCTGTATAGAGATAAATCTGAAAAATAGGAAAAATTTCAGATAAATAGGAGCTGTGGTTACATACAGAGGGGTCCCAGAGAGGAGCACAGAGACAGCTTTCTGTTGGCTCCATGAGTGAAAAAATACTGGTCCTGAGGTTCCAAAACTCATGCCATTAAAATATGCTCTAGGCTGAACACTGAAATTAGTGTATCTTTAAACTGGAATGGAAATTTGTTTGTATTGCAGCTTGCTGATTTCATATGCTAATTTACATTCCTCAAACGAAAGGATTCAATTTGCAGGGCAGTTAAGATGAACAAGTTCCCTTGTTGGTAGCAGAAGTTCTGTGCAACACTCCCCCTTACCTCACTATTTTGGTTTCTGTTTTGCCCTTCCCTGTGTGACTTGTTGGGGGGAAGATTCACGAGCAAGTCCACAGCCCTGCTGCCACGTTCAGGAGAAGGGGTGCAGCAGACAGAGCCACCGGCCACCGCAGACCAGAGACACTCACTTCACTGCAGAAGTGCTAATGTTAGCCTGCTGTTCGCTTGTTGCCCTAAACCACCAGTGTTGGTATTACCTGCCCTTTAAAAGGATCCCGGGTGCATCTCCCAGCACACCAGGAATAAAGCATGCATGAGGCCAGCGTTAACCAGCCTCAGGGTCAAGCTGTCCCATTGTCTTCTGCTGTGCTGCTGGCAGACACATTTAATCAATATTTCCCATATTTCACAAAGCCAGATCTCTAGCTTCACTCCCTGCTTAAATCATGTTACTGTAGAAAAGCATTCCAAGGGTAGGCAATATGTTTGCATCTTTAAAAAAATAGTCTTACTCCATAAGTCACCGAAGTACATTACACCTAGTAGATGTGCTCTTTTAACTTAGGAAAATTTTGCAAAACTCCACAATCCACTTTAACAGTTTATTAGCATAATGGTTTACTAATACAGCACCAGTAAGGGACATCATGGAGAAGTTATCTACCAACAAGCAGAAAAAGTAAATACCTATATGGAAGATCACATCCTACACCAGTATCTCTGGTTTCTGTACTGGTCTTTGGTTGGTTTTCCATTAAGTAGTCCAATTTATCTTGTAATTCTTTATTCTGGAAAACAATAATTTTCATCACAAGTTTATATTATTCAAATAATGTTAATTTTAAAAAGGAAATAAAATTGCACATTGGCTTATCCCCACAAGAAATAATGTAAAAGTATTTAGAATAAAGGAATCCTTACTTCTGGGGAAAAAAACCCCCACAAATTAAATCAACAATTTTATTCAGAAACTTCCCTTATAAGTAATTATAATACTGTTATAATTGTATGTTAAGAAACTTAGCATGAATATTGAGACTTTGTATGACATACATTCCTCATGTGACGGGTGCCATAAGTTTGATTTCCCTACTGAAGAACAGCAAACACACAGTAAATGTGCATCCAGATAACATCAGGTGATATTAGTTCACATTTTATTTGGTTTCATAGAATAATCACAATAATACAAACTTAAAAGGTAATGCCTTACCTCACATTCTAAGAAAGAGATTTTTTCTAAAAGCTGTACTATAAATAATTCCTTTTCTTTTACTTTCTTCCTTAGCATTTCAATCTATGAAGAAAAAAATTATAAAAAGACATTTAGTCTAATGAGGATGAGGAGGAAAAAGCCCTAGATACCACAGGAAGAAATCATGCTTAATTTTATAGTTCAGCAACAATCGAATACCTAGAGATAGATTCACAGTGTCCTTCAATCCATGGATTAGCTACCATCCCATACAATTAGGATCTTTTATGTAAAGGTGACACACGTATACTAACATGGCTTTTAAGAATTTGTATTTTTCTGGAAACAGAATGGAAACTCAAACATTGGCATGTAACAAAACAAACTAGGGAAAACTCCATCTTTGATTCAAAGGCCTGTGCTCTAGTCCATCTGAACTATAAAAACATGTGGCACATTTGCTAGTTTCCTGAAGGTCTTGTTTGTTCAGTTATTTCCTGGCATACCAGACTCCTTGAAAAGAAATGCATTTTCATTTTATACCCAGGGAATGGACAGAAGTTATGTACAAATGTTCATGAAAATGGAGATAGCTGCACCAGAAGCATTGCATCTTAATACTGTTCTATATGGAACAGAAGACAATCTTCCTTCTGTTCTGGAATTTCTGCTGCTCACAGAGCCATACGACAGGAACTTCTGCATTACATCCTTCCCTGCTACTAACCAGCACAAGCAGGTATGACCAGTGAAACCAGGTATGACCCAGATTTCATACTACTCCCTCGCTGCCGGCCCAAAGCTGTTCCGATTGCGTGGAAATGTCTTTCCAAAGCTCCTGAAGCCACAGCTTCCCATTCTTTTGAACCCTTTGCTGAAAGTGAGATTTGCTGTGTGAGGTTCACACTGTTATCCGCATAGTCCAAGAGACCCGTTGAGTGGCACAAGGTGAGCTCCTTTCAGCTGACTGCATTCAGGAGACAACAGCATCTTGGGCAAACAAACTGGATTTTCTCCTCGGACCAAAGGAGAAGTCACTTGTTATTTTCTCTCAGCCCCTGCTGGCTACACCTAGTAAAATAGCAGCTAATAAAAAGAGCAAAACAACACAACAGCTAAATAACAACTTCAATTGTTGCTGCCTCCCCAGGAGACAGTTCAGGTTGTTACTGACAGGCACCTGCAGACACTTCATAAGCACAGAAGACAAGGTGTGCCCTGTAGCTGTAGTTAGAGCCCAGTTCAGAGGCAGAGCGCTGCGTTAAAAATGTGTCTAAGGAGACTCATCAGAAGTACACTGGCAGATCAGTCTGAGGGAGAAAAGGGATTCTGCACCACATCTGTGTGCAGGCAGAAACTGGGAGGAGACGGGTTCCCCGCTGCTCTGCTCAGGCAGGCCGCCCTGTGCTCCAGCAGCAGCCATGCAAGCAGACAGCAGCGGGTACTCAGGGCAGTCATTTTTCCCATTCCCAGATGACACGAAAGTCAAAGCCCGTCTCGTCCCCCTGCGAAGCCCATCGGCACGTGTCTCTCAAGTGGGTGCTGCAACCCCCTCAGCAACCCCCCTGCCCCACGCCAGCTCTCGGACTAGGCAGCGCCCACCCAGAGCTTCCTCAGCAAACACTGCGCTGAGGCAACTGTCTCCACAATTCATTACAGCAAATTAAAGATTCTGATCTTAAGCCTGAAAGCAGAATCAGAAGTGAACCAGGCCAGTAAACAGAAGGTCCAGATCGCAGAAGGAATGCCCGTCCGACACACGGCGCTTTTGGTGAAGCCTCTATCACTGCGCGTGTAAAACCCCTTGAAGCTGTGTTACGTGAGGAAAGATACTCACACTGCCATTCCAGCACTGACAAAGTGTCTCTCCTGCACATTCCTTCACATTTTTGGGTAATATGCCAACAGTGTTAAAACACACCCCACCCCCCCACCCGATTTCTGCCTGTAGCTTTTTTTTATGACAAAAAACCTATAAAAATACCTATGCATAATAAAAACTAGGCATTTTCTATAAACGTCCACATTAAATGAGGCAGCCTTACTTTGTCAGGTTATTCACTGGCTGTGGGCTTCACTGATACAATTTTAAGGAAAAAAAGTAAAAAATATTTGTTAGTAAAAAATTTAGTGGTCTTTCACTGAAGTTAATTCAATCTGTAGAACAGCCAAGCTGAAATCAAGGAAAGCTCAGAATACATTAATTTTTCCTGGCAGTCATTATATTACATTGATATGCAAAAAAGATCATTTTTAAATACCTGGGTCAAATTTTCCATGCACTCTCACCAGTCACTTTTTGACTTTGTATCTTAAAATCAATTTTGTGATAGAACATTAACAAACCCCTTAAAAACCACCAACGTAAAACTTTTCAGCATGTCTGGAAACAACGATTAATAGAAATATTCACATCCTGCTAAAAGAGAATGATAAAGCATTCAAAGGTACAATAATCAAAACGACAGTAGCACTCTCACCCTCACAAAAATTTACTGCTAGGTATTATAAAACATTTCAACAAAACCATCCAGAACTATGAAAAAAAAAATTAAGCAAAACAAATGCATAAATAAGAAAACACCAACTCAACTTTAATTCTGTCTCCACGATCTTCAGTTACCACATCTTACTGAAACGATGATGTTATTCCCTGGAAAAGCTAAAATGCAAACTCCATACAATAAGTGTTTTCAACTGAACAGTTACAGAATATACGAGTGCTATCATCATCCATCTTTCTCAAGATCAGGTATTCCTTTTTTTCCTTTTACTTTCAAGTGTATGTAAAAACTAGCCATGTCATCCAAAGCTAATATAATTTCAGTTTTCAAATCACAGAAACACAAAGCTTGTACCACTTTTCAGAAAATCATAGAACATATTTTGATCTCCATATTTAATTACAGCTTTGATTAACAGTATGACTAAATTAAGCTAGTTAATTCTTCACTGCTTCAGTAGCTTCAGTCCTGCCAATAAATTCCACTTCAGAAGAGATAAACTGTTCTTTTAGGGCTTTCAAGTGGGTCTTCGCTAGTAATATTCTGTTCTCCTACTGTGCATACAGGAAAATAATTTGAAGACCAGCAATCAGCAGAACACAAAGACAACTGAAGCCAAGCACAGCTATGTGACCAGGGGAGGCTTTTGCCCTGACAGATACTCATTCTTGTTGCTGAAGATACCTCCTTAGCTGCCTATTCTGGTTTTCACGTCAAACACAAAATACTTCTGTTTCCAAATAAGTGACTGAATTACCTTTAGCCAAAAGCAAGACCAAACTCTTGAGTTTTATACCCATTTACCTTGAGTTCTAGTCACTCAATGACACAAAGGCTCTAAGACGTGAAATAAACTGTGACAGCAACTGTTATGTTTACCTGTATTATATATAGTTTTAGTGTAAGTTAAACTTTGTTTGTTCTTCACATTGGTACAGAGACACAAATTCCCTAAGGATGTTTTTGAGTTATTTTAACTACAATAGTCTGGAGGCAAAAATGAGCCTGGCCACCTTGAAATCTAACAGAAGACAAAGAGGAAGACCTTGACAAACAGCCTCCCCCCTTCCCCAACACAAACCTGCACTCCAAAAAGGAGTTTGCAATTTGGCAGGAATGTTACGATAAACCTTTCGTGTGTCTGTGTGCGCACGTGTGTGTGTGTGTCAGAGACCATGTGGTGCTGCACCATCACACGCACAAAGTCTTAGCCTGGCAGTAAAACCCACTGGCACGGCCAGACCAGGCGGACTACAGGCGTGGTCAGGATGTGAACGGGGCAACTCACAGAACCTTTCGGTGGATCTTCACAATATCATGAACTCAAAGCCAAACAGACCAAATACATTCCAGGAGAAATACATTCAGCAGTGGGTAAAATGCGGGGCTGTGTCACTGCCAGGAGAAGTCCTGCAGGGCTGCTCCCCCGGGGCCGCTGCAGCCCGAAGGCAGGGCCAGAGCGCAGCACCCAGCTGTGTGACGCTACAGGCACCCCCCCACGGCCAGCACCTGCTGCAGTCCACGGACTGAAGCACCCTCCAGAGTCCGGTCACACCTCTAGGCCTACTCACAGCCCGGACAGAGATGACACATCCCACCAGAGCAGTTTACTACAAAAAAAGTTTATTTACTGAATAAGGACTTGAGTACACATCACCTTATGCCATTAGCACCAGGAGTGAGCAAACCTGGTCTGACTGCCCCCTGAGGGGACATGTCACAGGAAACCAGGAAAAACAGGAATAACTTCAGGGAATTAAATATATTACTATTAAAAAAAATATGCAACCTTAATTCAATATTTTTATGTAAGTCACATTGCATAAAGTAAAAGTGATGGTTTCCTTCGACAGAGGAATGTGACAAGAACACTGGATCATAATGCTGACACTGGGTAAAAGCACCTCAAAAATAAAATGATTGCCTTGCTACTTACTGTCATTTCGATTTTTCCATGAAAATGCTAGTTAGGGGAAACTAAAATAAGATGGTAACACAGCACCATAAACCTGTATTGCACAAATACAGGTCTTGGGTGTCTTTGTTTCAAGAGAACTAGCAGGTGACAGACAGTGCAATAGCTTTTGACTTTGGGCTGAATGTAAGGTAACAAGGAGAGGCCAAGCAAGACAGGTCAAACACAGTCCTGAACTGAGGGCCCAGGTGGTGGCCACAATAGCCTGGGATCAGAAACACATCAGTGCAAGCCAAGGACTCTCAACTTCCATGGACTGCCTCTTGGATCCAAGTCACTTCTGGACTGACTCCAGGAGAAAATTATCACCACGATGTTCCTACATTTTCTTTGCTGAATGTCCATGGCCTATAATCCACCTCATCCTTGCTGTGTCTGCAGACTTTAGCATTTCAGGTCAACGCCAACTAAGCAACTTGCTCCCAAATCTGGCTTTTGCACAACCACCCTCTCAGATTTCTCCATCATTTTCCACAAGCATTATTCAGGTACAGCCTTCAGCATCTCCTCTTCCAGCCTTCTAGAGCAGCGCCCGACAGACTTTCCCTGTCACTCACCTCTTGACCTAACTTGCATTTGTACTGACTAGCTGTTCTCTGCCCTCCGCTTTTCTGCAACCATCG